CAATTTTTGGTCATTCCTCCATCAACAATTTGACTTAATTACATTTAGCATGCTTCATTTTATTTCTTCAGATGGATGCCAAAACCTCAACTGGCTCTCCTTATCCGGGGCATAGCTCTTTCTCGGTTCGTTGCTCAGACATGTTTTAGACGGAACACGGGCAAGATTGATGAAAAAAACCTGGGAAGAAGTCAGTTCGATGAAGCATCGAATTATTTTTCGCTATGACATCCGCTTTTCCATTATCATTCCATGCTGATACGCACCAGAGTGTTTTATCTTCCAACAACAGCTTTTTGGCAGCCAGCATATATTCCAAAAAATCCGGTGCCAAAATTAAATCATCTGAAAGAACGCTCACATAAAAACCAACAAGGGGCGGCTTTTCTACCAAATTTTGACCAAAACGATACAAAGTTTACATAACCTGTCGTATAACATATCAAGTAATGATTAATGGTTTTTTTAAAAAGTAGGTTAAAGAACAACTGCGCTACTGTGACGCAATACCCCTGCCCCCGGTTCAAACTTTGAACACCCAACCCTCGTTAAACTTTCGCTATCTTAGTAGTCTCTGACCCCTGAGATATAAAAACACTCCTCCCCATCGCCGGGAGGACCACAAGGACCACAGCTTCGGCTCCCCAGAACCTCATCACCTTGTTTTGTATTACCTTTTTAATCTTCTGTGTATTTATAAATATGTATATATGTCTAGGTGTTTTACACACTCACCCACCCACACACACACACACACACACACACACACACACATACACATACACACACACGCACACACACACACACACACACACACGCACATACATTTGCACACAGGGCATAACAAAAGTCTAAAATATTAAGTGCTAGGGGCGCGATAAACCAATCAACTGCATTCACAGACCGATTTTCCAACGAATTTTTCGCTGGCAACATTTCCAGCTGCTTTCGCAAATACTGCATTGAGCCCGATGATCAGCCTGTTAACAATCCTGACGTTCATTTTGTTTCCTGAGAGGGCACATTACCAGATTGAACACTTTCTCTCTTTGCTAAAT